GGGGGGAGGCAGGAGCTTCCTGTCAAGCAGAGGAAAGAAAGACTTGTGTGTAGAGCTTCCTGACAAACAGCGCAAAAGCTATAGGGGCCAAGCAAGCAAGAAGGATAGGATTCAGTACGTAGTCAATCCTAGGCGGGGGGCATAGATGTGTAGAAATCATGACCGCCCAGGCTACTGTGAGGCTTTTTGTGTTTAGATTCCTGTGTCTTTTTGTGTCAAACCCTTGTGCGCCATTTTTCTCACCTCTGAGAAGTTGCCACTTCTTTCAAACGTTGAGTTTTCATCTGTCCGCATCTCTCATAGACAACGTCTGTTTCAACAACCATGAACATGTCTCCGATAAAAAATAATCTAGGTACAAGGTCCACGGGGACCGCGGCATACCCCAGGCAATATTTAATCCAAGAAAAATTAATCCAAAAAAAAACCCGTGAACTCACGGGTATCCCTGGATTAATTTCCCAAGGTACCCCCCATGAGTGAGTGAGTGAGTGAGTGAGTGTGAACGTGAATGTGAACACGAGCGAGAGCGACTGTGAGTGAGAATGAGCGCGTGTGAGTGTGAGTGAGAGTGAGAGAGTGAAAGAGTGAGCGCCTGAGAGCACAACGCGCTGCGCCTGCCACAAAATCTGCACTTGGAGGTTCGCAAAGCGCTGCCCCTGCCACGAGATCTGCGCTTGGAGGCTCACAAAGCGCTGCGCCTGCCACGAAATCACTTGGTGGTTCACAAAGCGCTGCGCCTACCATGAAATCTGCGCTTCGAAGTTCGCAAAGCGCTGTGCCTGCCACGAAATCTGCCCTTCGAGGTTCGCAAAGTACTGTGCTTTGCACGAAATCTGCACATCCAGGGTCACAAAGCGCTGCGCCTGCCGCGAAATCTGCACCTCGAGGTTCACAAAGTGCTGCGCCCGCCACGAAATCGACCACTTCAAGGTCCACAAAGTACTGCGCCCCACATGTCCAAAAGTCACGATTCACTGCATCTGTCACGAAATCAGAGCGCCTCGAAGATCACCGCCGTGTCCAAAGTGCTGTGCCTGCCACGAAATCTGCATTTCGACGTGAAACCGCTCCGATCCCTTGCGCTTGTCACGAAAAGCCGACTTTGGAACACCAAAGCACGAGGTTTCCCTTGCGCCTGCGTGAAAAGTGACCACCGTGTCCGAAAATGCGCGCGGCGCCACAACGAGAGCGCAGTCGCGACAAGCGCCCGCCGGGGACACCCAGATTTTGCCAGCCTGCGCAGCGTCGACGGTTTGGTGCGCTGTAAATAGCAACGAAATAGCTGGACCTGACCGCGCAACACCTCGATCTAACACCGGCGCTTAACCGCTATACCGTAAGAACCCCTAGTGTAGGAGCAACTGCAGGAGCAGGAGGAGCAAGAGGAGCAAGAGCAGTAGCAGCAAAAACATGATGCCTGTAGTTACGGAGGTCGTTCCAATGTCGTTTTGGATGTCGTCCGGAGGGTCGCTCCCCAGCTAAATGACACATTCCACAAAGACAGACAACATTAGAAATAGCGGCAGCGGTGCGTGGAATTCTGAACGAAGGATCCCACAATACTACTTTACATCAACCTCCTTTTTTCTGGCTCAAGTGACGCTTCTCACAAAATCATCTTTCTGCGCCAAAATTGGACACCCGCGCCGAGCCGGACGCACCGTGTCCGGCGTATCGGCGTATCGCGACAAGTCCTGGTCGTAAACATTCGTCACCGGGGATTCTGTTGGCGTGTCCCTGCCTGATTGCGACAGTTTGTGGTGGACGCGCGCGCGACCCAGCGAAATAGGAGCGCTTCTGACCAAATAGAACTCAGCGTCTGGCAAACGATGGGGGTCGTGGCCTGCTCATGCAGGGAGTCCTTACCTCGCAATATCGACAGGCAACGTTGCCAACCCTCAAGAAATGAATCGGTTACGGGAGTCGGTTGCGTCCATTCTGGCCGCTTCTAGCATACTTTCACGTTACTCCCCGTGGCTCTAAGCGAGCTTTTGCTCAAGGTGAAGAAAAACGCAGGCCTGTCATTTTGCATGTTCTCACTATTTAATCCCTGCGCGTCATATCGTCACTCCCACTTTCCTACAGAACCTACTGACCTTCCTTGGCTTTTGGGTTGCTATTCTGACTGTTCTTTTTTGGTTGCGCTGAGAATGGCACTCACCCCTGGCGGACCCTCGTCGAAGGAATGAAAGCCGTAGGAGGACATGAGCCTAAGCGCAGCGTCAAACCCTACCTCGACCAACGACACCAACGAAGGCACAAATTTGGCACACCTGCTTCTTGCAATCGTTTCAATTTCAATTTGCGAAGAAACCGTATTGGAGGAAGACTGTTTGGAACATTTTGGAACCAATGCTTAACTTTTGGAGTGGCCTGGTATTCTGACTGGGCTTGCCGGTTTCCTAGGGCTTCTGCAGCCTTTTCCACTCAGGACCCACTTGGCTGACGGCGTGCGCCGTGCCGGTTCTCACCCTTTTGCGTTTCCTGTCGCCTGCAACAGAAGAAGTCTGCAATGCGCGTTGGAAGACTTACAGCGCTTTCTGTCCAATTAAGTCCATATGTACAGACCTACCTCTCTTAACTGCTGAAAACTCAATGTTTCTCTTGCAATGCGAGCAAGTTGTTTGCGCTTGAAGTAACTAGCCTTCGACGCGCCCTTTGTGGACAACGCAGCTAGAGGCAACGCGCAGCATCGTCACTCTTCATCCTAAGCTTGCGACCTACACACCAAGTTTCGAACCAGCTATAGCAAACTCATAGCCTTCCAAGCGGTGCCAGCTCAGGCCAGCAGACCCGGCTCACAGCTCACTGCGCGCGACCAGCGCCAGTTCAAGGCAACTTCGCACTTCGCGTGGCAGTGTAGCTTAAGCCACGGAGGCCAAGCCTATTTTGTCCGCCTACACGTGTTGTTGGAAGCGCGCGCTGCGCTTTCCCCCCAAGCCATCCCAAGCCATGAAAACTCACAGCGGCGCGCAGTTTTCCGCTCATGGAAATTGAGGCTAGTGTAGGCGGTGTGTGAGATGACATCTAATGCTCCAAACTACTGCCTCCAATGCTTTTGCGCCAAGGGCAAGTGCGATGTGATGCAACTGATTCTAAGCAGCCCCCACCGCACTGACGCTCGTGGCTCCCCATAGGGCCAAGCTAGCATGTACAGTTGTGCCTCATTCAGCTGATTGTCAACTGAGTTGTATGTCCAAGCTGCATTCAACAAAAAGAATTCAAACGCGAACACTCCTTGTTTTCTTGCCAGGGAAAGGACAAGTGCATAAATTTGCCCATGTTTGTAAACTGGCCGGCAACTTCCAATGTCCCGACCTTTCACGGCACAGCAAAACAATGGACGAACATATAGAAGTCGTCTTGCTTCGCTCGTAGAAGAGTTCATCGGTTGGAACAGGCGCCCTTGCACACTGTCATACAGGATTGATGAGTTCCCAACCGTCCCAGAAACAAACAGGCGTTTCTGGTGGTTGCCCAGGAACCTGAAATTTGTGCGGTCTCCAGGGCATTTCATCTTGAACGCGGTCATTGTGCAGATAATTCTGAATATTGAAATAAGTGTCCTAGCCGGTGCCTCAGGCTTCCAACGTTCACGCTGTTGATCGTGATTATCCAAGAAAATCAATGCCCTTTCAGTCGGGTAAGGCCTAGAACAAACTCAAAAGGAGCCCCTTCTGCAACCTTCACAAGTCCAAGAAACTTCTTGCTCCTAGTAGCGATGCCCTTTGTTACTAGTACCTTCTTGTTACTGGTAGTAATGCCAGGAGCTACTAGTAGCTTCTTGCTCCTAGTCCAAGGCAAGTTGAATGGAGTTCAAACACATATTCCTTGATCTGAGAATCTGAGGGATAAACGAATCGCAAATGCGATAGGAACATCCGCTGAAACCTGAAAGCTGAGGCCCAAGCATTCATATTGGAAAGGGAGGTTGTTCGCAACTTTCTATCTATTGGAACTGACGGAAGGACAAATCAACCAAGATGCTGTCCGATTGAAGCTGCAAAAGTTCGCCAAAGTGCTCAGACCTGCCCCATGAGGTTGGCCCTTTAATGCCTTTGAAAGTTCAACATCCCCGCCTGTTTGACCACCTTCCTGTGAACTTGTCAAACAGGGTCTCTGCCACACGTTCCCCAAATGTGAAGTCAGTGGCTGAACCAATGGATACAGCCTGCCGTGTACCCGCTTGCTAAATTGGAATCTATCATTTCTTCGCACGCGCAAGGATTCCGACTGCTGCCCGATGTACAGGTCAACAAAAAGTTACACATGATTTGCTAATTTCTTGTCTTCAAGCAAGTGGCGACCGCTTCTTACTCTAAGCCAGTCCTGTCATCTTGTTTCCTTGAGCCTTGCCTTTGCTCTTGTTTCCGCATCATAAATCATATCCGGATAGTACTCCTGCCATACACGTGTTGTGTTGAAAACAAGCAAACCCCAGAAACAAACGGGCAGAACGCCACGCAACGTGTCAACCTGGACAATGGGCCGTAGGCCCTTGGCATTTCCCACTAAATCTCCTGCACCACGTATTCCCAAGGAAATGGCAGAATTACCTCAAACATAGCAGCGTGGGAAGGAAGCAGCTGCTGCTGCGGACATTTGCGCCAATGGCAAAGGATTGTCTCATGAACATACAACTGAGGCACCAGCTCGGGCAAGCGACTCTGGGTAAATGTTCATTGCCGCGTCCACACCTAGATTGCAACTGGGAATGGCCCAATGTGGGCCTTTCAGAACCATGGGGGAAAAGAGGCCCATGAGCAAGTAAACTTGGAAACAAATAAAACCACCAAGCCCAGAACATGTTCGCGCGCTGCTGGCCACAACAACAACTTTTAACAGCGGCGCGGCGGCGCGACGATTACAGTGCAAACAAGACGGTATGTACTCCCAGATTTGGGACGGGCCGGTTTTCAAGTTTGGGCTGCAAGCTTGGCATTATTGGTTGCAGGCCAGCAGCTAGGAACTGGTGCTGCCTGCCTCTTCTGGCCCTGCTGCTACCGAGCAGCAACACTTCTTAATCGCCGCTGCCGAATAGCTTTTGGTACGCGCAAATGCAAAGCTGCTAGGTCTTGCCCTTTGGCGCAAGGTGTGCTCTCGGGTTGGAAAGAAAAGTCTTGTCTGAGAAAACACAAAGATTGGTATGGGCGCCTTGAAAGGCCGCCCCTAACTATCCAAGGCCCGGGCGAAGCATAGTGACTCCAATCTCCAGCAAGTCGAAAAGATAGGTCCCCAACTGAAGCTGAACCTGGGCGAATTAGCGTTGCAACAAGGAGCTGGGATCCTATTTTGGCCAAAGCACTGCTTTCAACTCGGTGTTGAGATCTGGCATACCATACATGTCGCACAGGCCTGAGCACAAGAGAAAACGAGGACGAACGAGGATTTTGGAAAGCATGGAACTTCAACGCATCCACTTTGTTTTCGGAGTCTCCCAGTGATTGACAAGTCACTTCCTTCTTGTTTCTACACGTCTGTAGCCCCTCATGCTACCCAAAAAATAAAAGGACCGGATAACCCCACATGATAAGTTTTACAAATGTCAATTGTATATGAACATCACATGGGAGACGGAGTAGTGAGATGAAAAGTCAAGAACGAAGTGTGAGGAGAGAAGGTATATGAGGCGGTTGTGCTAAGACGTGTAGTATAAGTGATGATGTGATGGACGAGGATGAGAAGGAGGGGAGGGAGGAGGAGGTGTGTGTGTGTGTGTGTGGTAAGATGGCGTGCGTGTGTGTGTGTGTGTGATAAAGTGTCTGATGATGTGATGAACAAGGATGAGAGACAGAGAGAGAGAGAGATAGAAGGAGGCGGAGAGAGAAGTTTGGAGGCTCTGGATTTTGCGATCAGATCCGCATGAGACCTTCAAAACG